ATTCGTTTCTATTTCCTTTCAGGTCTCACCCCTGCTGAAGCTCCACCCAGCGAGCACAACTGTGGTTCTCTGACATGAAACACACAACCATTAGTTGCTGGCAGTCATTTCGTGTGGGGCGATACGTTTACCAAAACAAACCCAGAGACTTTACCAGAGTTCTGCAGAGCAGGGAGCCAGCGTGTGCTCTCTGCAGGCGAGAGCAGGCAGTCAGCATCCGTGGCTGCTCTTTGCTCTCCACGGATGAGAGAAGGGGGGTGGGTGCGGCCTGCGGAGGATTAGGGACAGAGCCCACAACAAACAGATTCAGGCAAGGTGTGTGTGTGTGTGTGTGTGTGTGTGTGTGTGTGTGTGTGTGTGTGGAGGGGGGCTCCGCCCAAGAAGTCCAAGTAGATGGGCAGGGCTTGGAGCCGCTGCAGAAAATAGTTCCTTTTACAAAGGGAGTTTGCAGTACAGGTCCAACCAGGGAAGTTACCTGGACCGCCCTGAGCTGCCGAGTGCAGAGAGAGCAGTTTTCGCAGCGAGAGAAAGCTCTTGTCCGGACAGTTAAAGACACGGAGCAGCCCAAAAATGAGACACAAAAAAGAACAGGAGAATTAACCAAAGATGAATAAGACTGCATTCTACGGGGAAGGAGGAGACAGACACTTTACAGGGGAGTCATTTGAGCTGATTTTTAACCCTCTCAGCACGATGCAAGCAAATAGGAGGGGAGTCCCACTTAAAGTGAGGCCATTCAGGTGCTCACCTGACCCACAGGTTAGGGCTTTAATTAGATGCAAACACACACCTACATATACATTAATATGTATTAATTAAAAACCATTCATTCCCTTCTGAAGATGAGAAAACATAAACAGACAGTTGCCAGGAAAAAAAGAAGTAAAGAAAAACTCCTTATGGGCAGAACTTACAAAGTGTTTCTTGGGTGCAAAGAATAATTACCCATCAAAGACACGTTCCGGTTCCCAAAACTCCAGGTGAAACTGCTTCAAGTCCTTCAACAAAGACACAGAGCTCGACAGGTTGTCTATTTTAACAGCACTGCCAAGCAGGTAAAAATTTAGAAAGACAAAAGATCTTCCGAGGCCCCCTGCAAAGGGCAGTAGAAAAAATGAAACCAGGAGAACTGAAAGCCCAACCAGACCCTTTTCTGTCTAACCAGTCTAAAATGGTGATTTATTTTTACAAACACAGAGAAACCTACCTTCCAAGGGCTTACACTCTTGCCAAGTGCCCTGGCAGATTAGATTCCTATTCAGTCAGTCTGTGCAAATCCCAGGTTTGGGGACAAAGCCACTCCGCGTTCTTTAAAATTGCCACACAAAGGTTTTAAATTTATAAAACAAAAGATGCTTGGTCCTGATTAAAATTCATTTACTTTTAGCCAACAATTTAAGCCCGCCAATAGAAAGCACAAAAATAACAGCCCAAAGAAATGTTTTTGTTTGTTTGTTTGCCCAGATGTCCAGTCTGTGACTGCGAGGCTGACAGCCAGCAACCCCGTCCCCAGGAGGGAGGAAAGGAGGAAAAAGAAAAAAAATAAAATATATATATATATACACACACATATATATATACACACACACATATATATACACACATATATATACACACATATACACCAGAGTTGCAGGAGAAACATAAAGACATTACACACACACACACACACACACACACACAAAGACTTTACACACATAGACATTTACATAAAGAGGACGATAATTAGACCGACCAAGTTGCACAAAGAGACAAACAGCCATGGCTAGCCAAACCTGAGTACCAAACTTGTTAAATGACTGAAAGACTTGTTGCCAATCCAACAAGTCACCGAACTTGTTGTCAATTCAACAAGCTAATAAACCAGTTGCCGATTCAAGACACCAGACTTGTTGCCAATTCAATAAGATACCAAACCAGTTGCCAATTCAACAAGATAACAAACCAGTTGCCAATTCAACAAGATACCAAACCAGTTGCCAATTCAAGGCGCCAAACTTATTAAGCGATGGTCTGAAAAGACCAGCCTCCAGCTCAACAAGTTACCGGACTCCTCAGTCAGCGTCCTGGTGAGAAGCGACCGGGAAGAGTTCAGACTGCGCCCAGTCCCCTTCCCAAGTCAAACCAGAAGACGATCCCACAGTTAAACTTACCTCCAGAGGAACAGACGACCAGGCCGAATTCCAAAATTCCAGCATCCTCAGGCAGCCGCTCAACTGGGAACGTAGGATTCCAGGGCCCTGGTGAAACCAGGGGGCGCCTCCCTAGAGGCCCCACACTTCCAGGAGCAGCTGCCGGGCGGAGGCATCAAGACCCAGTGGCTGTCCCGGTCAGGGAACCAAAATGTTGCGATTCGAATAAATGACAGCCACTGTAATGTCTTGATAATTTAGAAGAGTCTTTATTCAGCTATAACCGGACTGCTAGAATCGAAAAGAGATTCTTTGATTGCAGTCCCGAGTCCACATTTCAGTCCATCTTTTAGAGGCGGAAAAACGCATTTATCCTTTGTCTAAGACTTAAGCAAGCGTGAACAGAAGCAGAAAGCAAAACGAATGCTACTGCTCTTTAGGGTGAGGGAGCATTACAGGGCACAGACTTAATGATAACATTCTGGTAACTTCAAGAAGAACACGGATGCATTACAAGGTACATTCTTTATCCTAAAAGAAACAATACCAACATTGACTACAACATCCTGGTTACCGTAACAAGATTAACTGTACTATTCAGATTACAACATCCAAGGGAACAATATTGAATCAGAACAAACGATATATGGAAGAATGATCGGAACAAATTGTAGTGTGCAGCACCTGGAAACCTGGGAATACAATCTAAAATGAATCACCTGCAGAGACTCTCCTGTAAGGGGAGGGAGAATGGGCAGGTTAACTAGCAGTCAGCTTTCTGAGGCAGAGGGAAGAACAGGCAAGTAACTTAGCAGCTAACAAAAATGGAGTTTCTTTGGCTAGTCGGCCTCACGTGATAGGGGGATGGGAGGAAAGTAAAAGGAAATCGAGGAAAGAGCTAGCAGGCAAAGGCCATTTATAGAGGTCTAAATACAGGCACATACATATGTAAATATATTTATATAAAGCAATAGGGACATAGATATATACATCTATGTTAAGTATTAAGGTAGCAGACAGACATTGGGCCTCTACTCAAGTACTTCCTCAACGCAAAAACACTTTGTTCTAATAACCTGGCATTCTGGGATGCTCACCTTCCCTATATGATCGCTGACAACAAAATGGGTGCATAAGCAAATGTGGTGAAGAAAGCTGGTGGTGGCCAGCTATCAAAAGATAGAGCATCTGGGGTCTTAAAGGCTTAAAGATAATCAAGCGGCTATCTAGCTGGGAAGCAACAAAGCCCACATGGAAGAAGTACACCAGCCTGTGTGATGTTGACAGGTTCAGGCATCAGAAGACCCCAAACAAACAATCATATCAATGCAAATAAGGGGGGCAGAGTGAAGACCCAAAGCCCATTGGTAAAAATGTGACATCTCACAAAGAAGGGATGAACCAGCCAGAGTGCAGTATAGCATCTATGAAACATACAACATTCCTCTAGTTTGTTACTACTTCCCCACCACCACCATCACCACTATCATGACCCCAGTCTACCTTACAAATCTGGTTAGACCAGAGGATGTACACTGGTACAGATAAGAGCTCTCAACACACAGAGTCCAGGAGAGACAAACCCCTCAGGAACAGTAATGAGAGTAGCTATACTAGGAGGGTAGGGGAAAGGTCTGGGGAGAGAGGGGGAACTGATTACAATGACTGATGTGTAACCCCGGCACCCCAAGGGTGATGAACAATAGAAACAGAGGTGAAGGGAGAAAGCTGATGGTGTAAGATAAATAATTTATAATTATCAATGGTTCATGAAGGAGGGAGGGTGGGAGAGGGAGGGAAAAAAAGAGGAGTTGATACCAAGGGGTCAAGTAGAAAGAAAATGTTTTGAAAAGGGTGATGGCAACATATGTACAAAAGTGCTGGACATAATGGATGTATGGATTGTTATAAGAGCTGTAAGAGGCTGTATTAGTCTGGGTACTTTAGAGAAATAAATCCACAGAAACTCATGGATAAGAGAGAGTTTTATGTAAAGGGTAAGTGCACATCAAGAAAACATCCCAACCCAGTGCTGCCCAAGCCAACAAGTCCAACATTAACCCATATGTCCAACACCAATCCACAAAGTCCTCCTCCATCTCACAAAACAGATGCAATGATTCGGCTTTCCTCCTGCAGCCGGTGCGACCATCACAAAGCAAGAGACCCGAGAACTAGAAAGGCGAGGCTCACTGAGCCATTTATCCCTCCGCCTTTCAATTAACCCCACACGTGTTTATCGGCCAGGTTGGGAAAATAAACTAACTACTTCAGAGCTGCAAATAAAATGACTTAAAAAAAAAGAATGTCTGCCTTGCGCGTTGGGCGCTTTGTGCGTACCTGGTCGGATGGACAGCAGAGACCCGAAAGCTCGGGCAGGCACCTCAGGGGGCCATGGGATGCAGTTAAGGGAGGCAGGACCACTCTGCAGGAGAGGCTGGCCGTGGCTGCACAGCTCAGAGCACACCCAACACCCCGAATTGTATTCGTCGAGAGGTTGGGCTGGGGGGGCCCTGCTGTGTCTCTCCTCCCCCACAACCACAAATACACGTGGTCTTCACAGCCACACAGAAAACACAGACTCCAATGGCACACGGCTTCTTGTCTCAGGTGTTTATTTGAAGAATTTTAGTTAAAAATAACTTAAGTACAAAAATAAGCATTTGATTGTGTCAGAGTTTGAAACTGCACACATACAAAAATAGTATTTGGTGGAAACCATTTGCTATAAATATATTTATAAATATAAGAACTGTATCAGTAAATATAATAAATAACAGCAACAACACAATAATAATGTCGGAACACTGGTCAGTGCACATGTCCAATATCCAAGGACGCAGAGGGCGGGATGGAGGAGCTGAGGGCTTACACACACTGGTCTCCGCTGGCGACACATTTCAGGTCCCGTGTGAGCAGGCGGAAGAGGTTTGATGTGACCGAGACGGCCAGGCAGCTTTGGGACTCCTGTGTGTGTGGAGGGTGGGCGATGAGGCACTGGTCTCCCACCATCAGCCTCCTCCCGACTCAGGACCCTGGCTCCCCCTCCCAGTCCCTCACCTTCTTCTCGGCCTCCTGGAGCCTGTGCAGCCAGCGGTGGAGGCGGCCCCGGGCCTGGGGCCCTGCTGTGGGCTGAGCTGGGGTCTGTGGGGAGGGAAGGGGTGGTGTGAGGCAGGGCCTGGTGGCACAGGGGTGGGTCCCGCAGGGCCAGAGCCCACAGAAGGGGCTTGGGCTCCCTGAGGACTCACACATGCCAGGAGTTCCGAGCGGATGTGGCTCAGGGTGTGAAGGGGCTGGTCCAGGAGAGTCCCCAGGGCTGACTTGTCCACAGTCTCTAGGACCTTCAGCGTCAGGGCCAGCTCAGCCTCCAAGGCCACAGGGCGCTCCCACACCTGAGGAGAGAAGGCAGAAGACAGGTGAGCACTGCACCTGAGAGAGAACAGGTGAGGTGCGCAGGTGAGTGGGGTCAGAGAGAGGAACCAGTGAAGTTGGCAGGTAAGGGGGACAAGTGAGAGGGCACAGACAATGTCCTCAGGTGGGGGACTCTGGGGTTGGGGTGTTGTAGACAGGGAAAGGAGAGGTGAAGGTCCCACTTAAAGTGCAAGGTGGACAGGTCCAGGGGAGAAGGGGGCGGGGGCTGGCTGTCCCAGCTCACCTGCAGGTGTCTCAGGTCCCAGCTGAGGGGGAAGAGAGGGGAGCTGCAGCGCCAGGTCTTCAGCAAGGGGGTCCTTTCCTAGAGAGCAAGGGCAGAGGTGAGCGCTCAGTGGCGGGGATGCAGGTTGGGAGCGCACAGTGGCAGGATTGGAGGATGTCTGACCACAGGAGGGGCAGGGTGGCGCACACAGGGATGCTGGTGGAGACCAGTGCCCTGCAGGACCTGGGCGGCATTCTGCAGCTGGTCTCTGATCGCAGGGAGCGTGGAGGTTAGCCCAGTGGGGAGAGGGGGGACTAACCCCGGGAAGGGAAGGTGCAGCTCAGCCCCCTGAGGGAGGCCACAGAGAGAACCCACAGAGGGAGGGGGATGGTGGCTAGCCCGCAGCAGGAGGGGCGCAGGGGGCTCACCAAGGCATTTTGGGCCTTCTTGAAGGCCTGCAGCTCCCCTGGGGACAGAGACTTGTACTGGGTGAGGTGGCAGCCCCTTGTATTCAGGGGGGCCCTGCTGGGTGGTGGCGTGGGGGCCGCTCCTGTCACGGTCAGCAAGGGGGCCATCAGCATCAGGGCCAGCAGGGAGCCCACAGCCATGTCTGTGTGAGGGAGGAAGGCAGAGGTGAGGGGACTGGGAGACCAGGTGGGGACCGTGGGGGCTCAGGGCGGGTGAGGGGCACGGGTCCTGACAGAGGGGGGTCACCTCGCTTCATTTCTGCTCTGCTGTCCGTCAGGAGGAGCGGGTCCAGTGGCTGCTCTGTGGCTGTCACGGGGCTGGGGCTGTCTGTCTGTCGCTGGGTCAGGTCTGAGGCTCTGACCTGGGCCTCCTGGTCTCTGGCGGTGTCTCTGGATGGCAGCTCCCCGTGGGCCAAGACACCTGCTGTCGGAGCCCCATGGTGCTGCTTTTAACCTGCAGGAGCCGGAGAGCCCACTGATGTAGGAGAAGTGAAAGCAGCCACAGGTTGACACTGTACACGGAATCCCCACCCTGGGGACACCCAGATGGGCGTGGCCCAGGTAAGAGCGTGATGTCACAACCGAAAGAGAAATTGACACTGGCTCTGAGCATTCCAGGCCGCCTCCAGGAAGAGGAGGTCTGAGCAGGAAGCCCTCACCTGGGGCAGCTGAAGCTGCCCTGAGGGGGTCCTGCCAGGGCTGGGGCCTGGCTGGGGGAGGAGGGCTCTCCTTCCACAGGCTGCTCCAGAGGGAGAGGCGCTTCTGGGAGAGGCTGGAGCTGCTGAGAGGGAAGGAGGTTGCTGAAGGTGAGGAGATACCAGAAGCCAGACAGGCGGACACAGCCCAGGCCTGACAGAGGAGACCAGCCGTCCCCCACCTTTCTATTCCTGATGATGGGGCCGGTGGGGGTGGGGCGCTGGGTGGCTTTGGCCTCGCTGTCTGCTCACAGACTGGGCATCGAGAGGTCACGCCCCGTGGCGGAGCCTCTGGCAGGACTGTGGGGACAGAGCCGCACTTAGAGAGGGCACCGAGATCTGGGAGTGTGCCTCCCCCGCAAGGCCCGGGCCACCCTGTGGACCCGGGCGGCAAAAGGAGCAGTCGAGTGCCCTCCAGCTCAGGGGCACCTCTGCCTGAGGGACAAGAAGAGGCCAGCGCCGGGCTCCTCCTGGGTGAGACCAGAGTGTCTACAGCCCCGGGACCCTCCACTTGCCGGATCGAACTGAGTCTGTGTCCCGCTGAGGTCCAGGGTCCCGGGTCCCTGAGGGACAATGGGCCTCGCTCACATAGTGATCCCTCCGCTCCCCGATAATGGCCAGCACCTTGGGGGCCGATGAAGGAGGGTGTGACAGGCGGCAATGTTAGGGTAATCCGCAGTGGGTTCTACCTCCACGTCCACTGTCACCAAGACCCACAGCCGCAGGGTGACCGTGGACACTTGAATCCCAGCAGGAGGCCAGCAAGAGGTCGGAGGCCGAGGAAACGGCCAGCTGCTCCCTCTAGTTGCCCCCCTCCCCTCCCCTCAGCCCCCAGGACTGCGGCGGAGAGCGCTGGCGCAGAGGGACAGACAGACTCGTGGACCTCTCCTACCCTGCACATCTGTCTGGTCCCTCACCTGCAGGACACACTCGCTGCTTCCCTGCCACAGACACAGTTGGGCCTGCCCTCTGCAGCCCACTCCCGGGCATGTCCGCTCTCAGCAGCCGGGCCCGGACCCTTCAAGACGGCTTTTATGGGTCCAGCGGTGTTGCATTGACCCCTCAGGGTCAACATCAGCGCTGGCCAGCTGCCATGTGAGATCCCTGCTGCGAATGGGACTTTGCCGCCTCTGGGACTGTGCCAGGGATGGCTCTGCCCCAGGCCTCTGATGGTAGGGCCGATCTCCGTCCCTGCCTTTTCCCCTTTTCCTTTGACTCCTCAATAGCTGATTCCACGCCTGTCCTCCATCAGTGTCTTCATCCAAGTCCTGTCCTCTTGTTCCTACCCCTCTTTTTGTCTCCTGCGCCGCCGTGTTCAGCAGAGGGGCATTGGGGCCATCGCTGCTGAGATCAGAGGGAGCTTGGCTGAAAGCAGAGACTCCCAGACAGATGTGTAGCTGTGTTTCACTTCAACTCCCTTCATCCTAAGAACTATGAATATTTCAAAGACCAGAATCCCAGACCCCTTCATTATGCCCACGCAGAAGGTGTACATCGACCAAAGGCAGTTGTTGGAACAAAACGAGGAGCTATTGCACAGGCTAAACCCACGGAAGATGTGCATCTGGGTTGTGTCCTTTAACCGGACTTCATCCTCCTGTAGGAAGACAGATTACCTGAGACGGGAGCCTCTAGGAAGAACAGGGCATCAGGATGGGAGAAAAATCCACCAGCAACCTGCAACCTGCAGGTGACACCCCCTTGCTTGTCGAAGCCAAGAAGACTTGAAGCACTTACTGATGAGGTTCAAAGGCTCCGGGTTTTCACAGCGTGTTTCACCTCAACATAAAGAAAATGAACATCTGGGGTGGGGGAATGAGCTGATACCCAGGGCTCAAGTAGAAACAAAATGTTTTGAAAATGATGATGGCAACATGTGTACACATGTGTTTGACCCAATGTCTGGCTGGCTGGTGATAAGAGCTGTCAGAGCCCCCAGTAAAATGGTTTAAGAAAATGAACATCCTCATGACTGCACCGATCAGCAATATCCTGGTCACCAGAGAAAAGAATGGCGTCGTCAACAGTTCCACTGCCCTTGGATCCGCAAGCAACCCTCATGGAAGCCGCCGAGAAGGGATCCAGGGACGTGCTGCATTGGCCAATCTGTTGCACAAGGTCCTCTCTAGCTGTTAGCACGACTTTGAGACCCAAGGTGAGCCGAGCCTAACCCAGGATATTTTCAATCACTTCCTAGGCACGCACACACTGGACAAGGGAGAAGAAAGAGAGAAGACTGGCCGGCTTCGTTACGAGGCTGGCGAAGGATAGGGACTCGACCGCAGACTGGGAGCAGAACCGAGGAGCCAGCCTGGAAGAAGGGCTGCCAGAATGCTGCTCAGAGGACTTGGTCTTGAGTCCAGGGGCAGGTCCTTCAGGAAGGACGCGTCCCTGGAGAAGGACATCAGGCTTGCTGAAGCTGAGAGACAGTGAAAGAGAGGGAGGCACTTCCTAAGGCAGATGGGTACAGTGGCGGCAACCACGGGCTCAGACGTAACCGTTGTGAGGAGGCCTGGGCCTACCACCTGCAATCCCGAACCATGAACCCCTCCCTCCGTTCGACTGTCTGACTCTGCTCGTTCCTTTTCCAGCAAATACCAGGCCAGGCTCTCTCTCTCTCTCTCTCTCTCTCTCTGTGCCCCTCACTCTTATTTTCATTGTGGTTTGGGTGAAAGTTTACAGAGCAAATACATTTATATTTAACAACGGACACTTTCATAACAGTCCTTACAATCCTGTCAAAGGATCAACACGCTTCCTACTTCCTGCCTGGGGCCCCTGTGCCCGTTGGTCCTTCCTGCCTGCCCTTTCGAGCCTTGTAAGCTTTGTCTTGGGGCCAATGCTGCCCTTTGAGCCTGGCCTCGTTGATTGTATCAAGGGGTGTACGTATGCTTCTCCTGTGGACTGCTTGGCTCACCTTAGGCCTCAAACTAACACCTTTGGCCTTTCACCCCTTACAAGAGGCCTCCTGCAGCAGGTCTACCCAGTGCAACGCGTCCTTTGATCTCTGGACTGCCGTTTCCATGAACATCGATTGTGGAGCCAAGAAAGATGATATCCTTAACAACACTCTCTTCTCCGTTGATCATCAAATCAGGATGAGGGAGGACGAATCCGTCCACTTTGAATTATGGTACCCGTGAAGAATCTTGAAAGTACCGGGACTGCCCAAGGAACAAACAGATGTGTCTTGGAAGAAGGCTAGCCAAAATGCTCCGACAAGGCCAGGAGGGCAAGACTTCATCTCCACCTACTTTGGGCATGCGATCAGGAGAGACCAGTCCCTGGAGAAGGACATCGTGCTTGGTAAAGCAGAGGGCAGTGAAGAAGAGGAAGGCTCCCCGCTAGGGATGGATGGACACACTGGCTGCAACAATGGGCTCAGACATTAGAACGACCTTGAGGTTGGCCCAGGCCCGGGCAGTGTTTGGCTCTGTAGTACACAGGCTCACTATGAGTTGTAACTGATTCAACAGCACCTTCACCACAACGGTTGGACTGAGGGGTGACCCTGGAGTGGGTCAAGTCCAGGTTTAGAGGATTGTCTAAGGACCACAGCTTGGGGTCTCTATTCATTTTCTTTAAAAATAAGATCTAGTACCTCTTCTTCCAATCATCTGATCCACAAATATTCAAGGGCGCTACCTGGAGCCATACAGAGCAGCTTAAAGGGAGAGGAGAAAACTCCGCACCTCCCATCCAGCCACTGGACCCATCTTCCTCAAAGCATACAAATGGGACCTGGACAGAATCATGTGTTTTCTTATCAAAGAAACCTTCCACGTAAAGATTCCACCAAGAACTAAAGCCACCAAGAATTAAAGACGTCTTGAAGGCCCCAGCCCTTTGAACGGTGACGAACGAGCCTGCTTTTCCTCCCCCTCCCTTTTCTCTCAGCAATTTCACCCAAATTGGAACTAGGCTGTATACAGTTTGGCAGCCTGCACTCTTATGTTTTATCATTATCGCTCGTTTACATCTCCTCTGATCTTTAATTACAACGGTGCAGTTAGGGCCCCAGCAGGAAACAGATGGTCCGATTGATTTAGGATAATTGGAGGTAGGTTGAACACCGGGAGTATTTACAAAGAGGTTGGAACGTGCAGGGAAGTGACCAGGACCGGTGAAAGGCTCTGAGCGGTGGGGCTGGAGTGGGGTGGAAACTGGACCTGGGGAGGAGCCAGGGAGATCGACTAGGAGATCAGACCAGTCATGGGGAGCCTGCCGGGAGGGCCAGCTGCCATTCAGTGGACTTGGGTGCATGGTGACCTCATGTGTATTGACACAGAACACTGCACCCCCGTTTTAATGGATGAGTTTTGGGGGAGTTGTTCAGCAAACCTTTCTTACGAAGTGGCTGCAGAGTGGACTCAGCCCTCAACCGCCCATGGACCCCTGTCGGAAGGCAGGCTAAGAAGG